TGAAAGTACAGTCGACCTTAAATGACCTGGTGAAGCAATGCTTTCAGTACCTACATTTGATGATGGGGCACAACTCAAGATGAGAGAAAAAGCTGGAAATATTAATGATCAGAATATGGAATACATGAAATATGAATCTAAGAAAATTAGAAGGTATCAAAACTGTAGCACATAAAGTAGAGCACATAAAGATAGATATTTTAGACATTATGATTTGAAATGCATTGGTACTGGCCAGTTTGAAGGAATTTGAATGAATCAGAAAATCATATAGTTGACTATTCTGGGAGTGGCAAATTAAAAAGGAGTGGTGTCACATTCAGTGTGACACCATTCCTTTCTAAAAAGAACATTTCAAGATCTATCTTAAAGTAAAGTGCTGGCTTTAATAAGATAATATCCTAAGCCTACAAAGAAGACTAGTTAATACTACTATTATTCAAATTTATGTACCAGTCACTAAAGCCAAAGAAGATGAAATAGAAGAATCCTACCAACTTCTTCAGTCTGAAAGTGCTCAAATATGCAATCATGATGCATTGATAATTACTGGTTATAGAAACGTAAAAGTTGGAAACCAAAGGGAGGATCGTTAGTTGGAAAATATGGCCTTAGTTATAGAAATGATACTGGAAATCACTCACGACTTATTTATTGCAAAGACCTTTTTTTTTTTTTTTAAAATTAACTACACATGAAGACCTCACCACATGAAATACACAGGAATCAAACTGACTACTTATGTGGGATGAGACAATAGAGAAGCTCAATATCATCAGCCAAAACAAAGCCAAGGCCACACTGTGGAATAGGCCATCAATTTCTGAGATGCAAATTCATTAAAGAAAGCATGGTATTTTCAATTGCCTTATATGTGTGTGGAATCCTGGTGTGACACTGTGGGTTAATGCGATAGACTACAAAGCCATTTGAACTGCAAGGTTAGTGGTTCAAGCTCACCAGCTGCTCCTTGGAAACCCTAAACAGGGTCGCTATGGGTTGGAATAGACTCTATGGCATTTAACAACAACAACATATATGTATGTATACAAAATTATAACAAGTTAATGAGAGCCAAAATATGACCTTGAATATGTTGTTGGTAAGTACCTTCAAGTTGGTTCCAACTCATAGTGACCTTGTATAGGGTTTCCAAGGAGCAGCTGGTGAGTTTGAACTGCTGACTTTGCAGTTCAAACCACTCTTGCAGTCCAGTGCTTATATTATAGCATACACCTGAATGTAGAGATCGTCTTAAGAACAGATTTTGTGCATTAGACTCTAATGAACAGAGACCAGAAGAGTTGAGGGATCAAAACGGTTATCAGAGGAGACGCTGACACATCTTTTGAATGTAGAAATGGTAAAGCAACTGGAAGAAGTGATGAAGTAAAAGAGCTGAACAGAATATTTCAAGGGGCAGCTCAAGAAGACAAAGCAAAGTATTATAATAAAATGTGCAAAGATCTCGTGTTAGAAACAAAAAAGGAATAACATCATCAGCATTTCTCAAGCTAAAATAATTGAAAAGAACATTTAGTCCTCAGGTTGTAATACTGAAGGTTTCTATGGGCAAAATATTGAATGATACAGAAAGCATCAAAAGAAGATGGAAGGAATATACAGAGTCACTGTACCAAAAAGATTGGTGTGATGTTCAACCACTTTAAGAGTTAGCATATGATCCAGAACTGATGATACTGAAGGAAAAATCCAAGCTGCACTGAAGACGTTGGTGAAAATCAGCCTCCAGAAATTGACAGACTACCAACTGAAATGTTTCAACAAACTTGCAGTGTTGAAGGTGCTCACTCATCTATGCCAAAATATTTGTAAGACAGCTAGTTGGCCAAACAGTTGGAAGAGATCCATATTTGTGCCTATCCAAAGAACTAAGATACCACTTTGAGGACTAAGGTGAGCCTAACTCAAGTCATGGTATTTTCAGTCACCTCAAATGCATGTGAAAATTGGAGAGTGAATAAGGAAGACAATGAAAGAATCAATGCAATTGTTGGAGAAGAATATTGAAAGTACTATGCACTTCTAGAAGAACTAAGAAATCTGATTTGGAAGAAGTACAGCCAGAATAACCCTTGTTGTTATGGTTAGGTGCCATCGAGTCGGTATCGACCCATAGTGACCTTATGCACAGCAGAGTGAAACACTGCCCGATCCTGGGCCAACCTCACTACTGTTGCCACACTTGAGTCCAACGGTGCTGCCACTTGGCCAATCCATCTCGCTGGAGGTCTTCCTCTTTTTCTCTGACCCTCCACCTTACCAAACATGATATCCTTCTCCAGCGACTGGTCCCTCCTGACAACATGTCTGAAGTATGAGAGAGGAAGTTTGACCATCTTGGCCTCTAAGGATAGGATATTGGATATAGGATAGGCTATAAGAATAACCCTTAGAAGTGAGGATATCAAGACTTGGTCTCTCTTTCTTTGGACATGTTGTCAGGAATAACCAGTCCCTGGTGGCAAAGTGGAGGATCATTGGCACAGTGGTAATAATAAAGACTCAAACATATTAACAATTGTGAGGATGGCCTGGGACAGGGCAGCATTTTGTTCCTTTGTGCACTGAGTCGCTATGAGTCAGAACCAAATCGACGACACCTAACAACAGCAACAACAATTTTACAAGTGAAAAAAAAACCCACAGTCCTTTGCACAGAGATGTTAAGTAACCGTCCCATGGTCACACAGCTACAAAGCGCTAAGAATTTGGCTTTAAACTTTTGTGCTGCTACTTCAGACGTCAAACTCTCAGCTAGTATATTTTGTAACCTCTCCAGTGCATGGGTCTCTGAGTGACTGGTTGGAACTGGGAAGTTGCCAGGGTCTGAGGTAGCTTTTCTCTCTTCTATCCCCTTAATGGAATCTTGGTGTGGTGCTGTGGGTTAAGGTGCTGGACTGTGAAGTGGGTTTGAACAGCTAGGTCACTGTTCTAGCTCACCAGCGGCTCCTCGGAAACCCATGGTCACTATGGGTCAGAACTCACTCTATGGCACTTAACAACAACAACAACAACCTCCTTATTGGAGTCCTGGTGTGGCGCTGTGGGTTAATGCACTGGATCGCAAGGTTGGTTTGAATTGCAAGGTCGGTGGTTCAAGCTCAGCAGCTGCTCCTTGGAAACTCTGCAGGGTTGCTTTGAATCGGAACCGACTTGACAGCACTTAACAACAACAACAACAACAACAACAACAACAACAACAGCAATCCCCTTAATGTCCACTGTATCTCTTGTCCAAACTACTTTCTACATGTCTAAAATATTCTTTCCTCTCATTTTGTACATGATATTTCTATGATTCTTCATGCCTTGGCAGAATATGAACATCAAAATGAGAGTCCAAATGTGCTACCTAATTAATTGTAATCTCTAAATTTCAATTCTAAATTCCAAAAGTAAGGGAGGCACATGGGTGGGGTAAGATATTCATTGGATAATCTTCGATCATGTCATCTACTGACCAAATTAGCTTTAGCAGCATAAGTTTGTCTGCAGAGGCCCATCTAAGTGTTTGTGAGACGTTGTCCTGTTCTTAGAGAAGGAGGGAGTCCTTAGGACAAATATCCAAAGTTAGAGCTCAGAATTAAATGTAGCTGGTGAAAACCACAAGGAGGCAAATTTTCGCTTTAGGAAGAGTAACATTATCATAGTATGGTGGATTGTGGTGATTGCAGGCCTTTGAGCTGACTCTGACTCTTGTGACTTTGTATAGGGCTTCGGATGCTGTAAATCTTTATGGGAGCAGAAAGCCTCATATTTCTCCCATGGAGCACTCGGTTGATTTACCATGTTGATCTTGCGGTTAGCAGCCCAACATGGAACCCACTATGCCACCAGACCTTCTTTGTCATAATCAAGTGGGATTTAAAAGGAAAAACATTGATAAGGAGGGGCTTCTTATCTCTGGAGGCACTCACTGTCAGCTAGATCTGTGCTTCTCAAGTTCTAATCTGTATGTGAATTTCCTGATGCAATAGGATGAATTGTGACTCCCCCAAATGTCTGTTCATCTGGAACCTCAGAATATATCCTTGTTAAGAAATAGGTTCTTTGCATATGTAGTTAATTGAGGATGTTGAGATGAATTAATTCTGGATTTGTGTTTGGGCCTTAATCCATTGACTAATGTCTTTATGAAAAGAGAAGATGATTTGGAGACCCAAAGACAAGAAGGCCATGTGAAGATGGAGGCTGTGATTGGAGTGATGGAGCTACAAGGCAGGGCATACCAAAGATTGCCAGCATCCGCCAGTAGCTAGGAGTAAGCCTTTCAAAGGAAAAAACCTTATTGATAACCTTAAAATGTCTGGCCTACTGAATTGTGAGAAAGTAAATTTCTGATGTTTTAAGCCACCCAGTTTGTTATAATTTGTTACCTAGGAAACATTACCTAGGTGGTTTAGAGTCCCTACAAAATGAATATACTTCTTGTTGTTGATGTTAAGTGTCATTGGTTCCAAACCATAAAGACCCTGTATAAGGTTTCCAAGGAGCAGCGGTGGGCTTGAACTGCCAACCTTGTGGTTCAAACTGACTTGAGAACTTGTTAAAATGTAGATTCTGATTCAGTAGGGGCAGTCTACTGATTGTTTATTTCTAACAAGCCTCCAGGTGAGACTGATGCTGAGACGGTCTGTGGATCACACTCTAAAGAGCAAGGAGCCTAGATGACTATCTCAGAGAAATGCGGGCCGAAAGAGGGCTGCTTTTGTGAGGTAGGTTATGGTTAGGGATTAGTTTGCTAACTTCGAAAGTGGAACAGCGACAGAAGGAATGGCTGCATTTAAAGTTTTCTGGATATCCAGCTGAACTTGATCTATTGCCAAAATATACACTTTAATTTTATGTATAAAATATAATATTGCATTCATGATTATTATGTGTATTAATCTGTAGTAATGCTGCAGGTTGATGATGTCCAGTTGTTTATAAAATGTTGTTCTTCTTGTCACTTTCTTGACAGTCACACCAGCTACATGGAATCAAGAAACCAAACACAGATTTCAGAATTTATTCTCCTTGGACTCTCAGATGAGGAGGAACTGCAATCTTTCCTTCTTGGGCTCTTCCTGTCCATGTACTTGATCACCTTTATTGGGAACCTTCTCATCATCTTGGCCACTATCACTGGCTCCCATCTGCACACTCCCATGTACTTATTCCTTTCCAATCTGTCCTTTGTAGACATCTGTTTCACCTCCACCACTGTCCCCAAGATGTTGCTGAACCTCCACACCCACAACAAAGGCATCACCTATCAAGGTTGTCTCACCCAAATATATTTTTTCATCCTTTTTGCGGAGTTGGATATTTTTCTCCTTTCTATAATGGCCTATGATCGGTTTGTGGCCATTTGTCACCCTCTGCATTATACTGTCATCATGAATCCCAGACTCTGTGGCTTATTGCTGTTGGTGTCCTGGACATTGAGTATCCTAGACTCTCTGCTACGTGGGTTACTGGTGTTGCGACTGTCCTTCTGTACTAATTTGGAGATTCCCCACTTTTTCTGTGAAATCAATCAGGTTATCCAACTTGCCTGTTCTGACACCCTCCTCAATGTTATAGAGATGTATGCTGCAACTGGGGTAATGGGTATCATTCCCCTCACCGGCATCGTATTTTCTTATTCTCAAATTGTTTCTTCCATACTGAGAATTACATCCACAAGGGGGAAGTATAAGGCATTTTCTACTTGTGGCTCTCACCTCTCAGTTGTTTCCTTGTTCTATGGTACAGGCCTTGGGGTCTACCTAAGTTCTGCCACTACCCAAAATTCCAGAGCTAGTGCAATAGCCTCAGTGATGTACACCATAGTCACACCCATGCTGAACCCCTTTATCTACAGCTTGAGGAACAAAGACATCAAAGGAGCACTGAAAAGTCTTGTTGGAATTATTGCTTTAAATGAATGACAGAAATGTTTATCTTGGGACTGTACAAGAATCCATGAATAGATGGGGGGACCAGATAGGCATTCAGAGATCCTCATTTTTTGGTGTATGTGCATGTTTTTGAATTTTCAGGCATTTTTGACATTTTATGTTTTTTAATTTCATGCAACTATTTTGATTTCAAAATAGTTGTAGGAAAGAAACAACTAATTTGAAATTAAAGACAACAGCATTCAGTATGAATTGACCTTAAGATAAAGAAAATAAAAATCCTCACTACTGGACCAATAAATAACATCATGATACATGGAAAAAAGATTGAAATTGTCAAAGTCTTGGATCCATCAACACTCATGGAAACACAGCAGTCAAGAAATCATTGATGTATTGCATTAGGCAACTCTGCTAACACAGACCTCTTTAAAGTGTTCAAGGGTAAAGAGATCAGTTTGAGTTCTAAGGTGTGCTTGGCTGTAGCCATGGTATTTTCAATTGCCTGATATGCAGGTGAAAGTTGGACAATGAATAAGGAAGACTGTAGAAGAATGAATTGTGGTGTTGGAGAAGAATATTAAAAACATCATGGACTTCCAGAAGAACAAGCAAATCTATGTTGGAAGAAGTACAACCAGAATGCTTTTTAGAAGCCACGATGGCAAGACATCGTCTATCATAATTGGAGATGTTATCAGAAGGCCAGATCCCTCCCTGGAGAAGGACAGCATGCTTGGTAAAGTGGAGGGTCAGTGAAAAAGAGATGTATTGACCTTCAACGAGATGCATTGACACAGTGATGGCAACAATGGGCCCAAATGCAACAATTGTGAAGATGGCATAAAACCAGGCAGAGTTTTGTTCTGTTGTGTTTGAGGTTTCTATGAGTCTGAGCCGACTCTATAGCACTTAAGAACGACTTGTTTCAAGTGGCAATGGTCATTTCTAATAATGACCATACTATCTTCAAATACATTTTCTCTTTCAAGTGCTGCTATAAGTGGATGGCTTAAATGAACAAATTAATTATTTCACAGTTTAGGAGGCTAGAAGTCTGAATTCAGTGTAGTACTTTGGAGGAGGGGGGCGATTTTCTGTTTCTGTTGGCTCACAGTTTAGGAGGAATGTCCTTATCTCCTTTCAGCATCTGTGAGCCTTACATTCCTCATCTTGACATCAGTCTTCCCCTTAGTGTAAGATGTTCCCAGGACAGGTCCAAAGGACACACTCTGCTTCTGGCTCTTCTTTTTTGGTGGTATTCAGGTCCCTCTTCTCTGCTTGCTTCTCTCTCCTTTCATCTCTTATAAGATAAAGGTGCTAAAGGCCACATCCCCAAGGAAAGTCCCTTTCAAATGTTTGGCATTATATCAGATTTGCATTATGGAGGTGAATATATTATATCAGACCACAAAATGGGGATGATGACATAATCACAGAGCTGCAAAATTACATCATTGAATAATTGCCAGACAATTGAAAATCATGACCCAGCCAAATTTACACATAATTCTGAAGACACAAGTCAATACATTAGAATGAACAATTTTTGATGAAGTAGGATAATCTTATGGAGATAATAAAGACTTGAAGCTCACATTTTTGTACATGACATTGTTCATTAGAAAACTGAGGTCCCTTTTATTTGTCTTGTTTATCATTAAATCAGGAAAGGTGTGTGTCAGACTTGCTTCTTTTCATGATACTAATCCAATCCATAAGTTGAGCAAATAACCTAGGAACTATCTGAAGAAGAACATATTATTGGTATTGGGTGAAGGATCATTAACAACTTGCAATATTCAGAAGACACAACTTTGTTTACTAAACATGAGGAGGGTTTGAGGCACTTATTGATGAAAATCAAAGAATATAATCTTCAGAATTGATTAAGATTGAATGTAAAGCCAACAAGAATCCTCACAACTGGACCAATAAACAACATCATGATAAACAGAAAAAAGATTGAGGAGTAAGATGTGCCCGACCATGGTATTTTCTACTTCCTCTTGGTGTGGTGCTGTGGGTTAATGTGCCAGACTGCAAAGCCATTTGAACTGCAAGGTTGGCAGTTCAAGCTCACCAGCTGCTCCTCGGAAACCCCATACAGGATCGCTATGGGTCAGAACCGACTCAACGGCATCTAACAACAACAACATATCCATGTGAAGGCTGAACAATGAATAAGGAAGACCAGTAAAGAATTAATTCATTTGAATTATGGTGTTAGTGAAGAATATTGAAAGTACCATGGACTGCTAGAAGAATAAACAAATGTCTTTGAAGAAGTACAGCTGGAATGTTCCTTAGATGTGAGGATGGCAAGACTTTGTCTCATGTAATTTTGACATGTTATAAATAGGTACCAGTCCCTGTAGTAGGATATCATGCTGGGTAAAGTAGAGGATCAATGAAAAAGATGAAGACAAATTGACATAGTGAATGCAATAATGAGTTCAAACTTAGCAACGATTGTGAGGATGGCACAAAGCCATACAGTACATGAGAGCTATGTGTTTGAACCAACATGGTGGCACCTAACAACAGTAACAAGACTAAAAACACGTCCAAGAAATGGAATCTTTCCCAAAGCCTTGTGAGCTTAGAAGTAAGTCTTTCCTCTGTAGAGTCAGGTGAGACACCAACCTTGACTAACACCTGGATTATAGCTTGTGAGAGATTTTGAATTAGAGGACCCAGCTAACTCATGTCCAGATTTCTGATACACAGGAACTGTGAGATAGTAAATGTGAAAAGTCATAGAGTTTGAGGGTAGTTTGTTACACAAAGATATATAACTATTGTAATCAGTAATCAAGGTTCTCAGACATTACAGTAGGTGGGATTATAAAATGGTCCAACTCATTTGGAAAGAAAACTGGGAAAGGTTATAAAATTAAACATACATCTAAGCCTTGAAATTTATATAATGGAAAATGAAAGTGGATGTTCACACAGAGACTATTCATAAATGTTTGTAACAGGTGTATTTGCATTATGCCAGAAATATTTGTAGAATAGTTACCAAACTGGAAATAACCAAAATATGCAATGACAGGTGAATTATAGTATACTCATGCAGTGAAATCCTACCAACAAAAATGAACAAACTGCTGATAGATGCAACAACTGGGACAAATTTCAAAAATGAATTATAAGAAAAAGATGCCAGGCACTTTGGATAATAAGAATTTTCTTTTACTAAGCCCTAGAATCATAAAGAAATCCTGGTGTGGTGCTGTAGGATAAGCACTAGATTGCTAACAGAAAGGTTGGTGATTCAAACCCATCAACCACTCCTTGGAAATCTATACAGGGTCACTATGAATCGAAACCAACTCAACAGCACTTAACAAGAAGAAGAATCATAAAAGTAATATTATGATAGAAATCAGATCAGTGTTTGCTTGAGACAACGTAGAGTAAATGTGTTGACTGTAAATGCACATGAAGGAAATTTCTAGAATAGTAAGAAGCCTTATGATAATAGACAGCAGATCCTTGGTTGCCTGGGTCAATGTCGAGATGTGCAAATGGGTCTGAAGAAATTTTCTGAGGAGATGGAAACGTTGCATCTCTTTCTTGGGCTGATGGTAACATGGGTGCATATATTTGTTAGACTATCCTGGAGAAGGATGTCATGCTGGGTAAGGTGGAGGGTCAGAGAAAAAGAGGAGGACCCCTAA